GCAAAGGTAAAACCTCTCCGTTCCCCCACTGAAGGGCTGTCTCCCTGGCCCTGGTTTGGATTACTTTTCACCATCAATTTAAAAGCACTGCATTTGAATTAGTTTGAGCCATGGCCTATGCACACATTAGTCATCATAATTCGATGGTGTACTCATGAACTATGTATATCAGCCCTTTGCGTCTTCATTACACAGACATGACACGCAGGTAGAATTGATGGAACAACATTTTGGTTGATCTTTGAGCTAGCATCCTAGAGGTGATAATCTGTGGCAGACATAGGCAGAAGGTCAATTAGGAACTACTGGTGGATCCCTAGGTTATTTGTAGTAGCTTGCTATTGCCAAAGGGTTTGGACTCTCAGTTATCTAACAGAGCAACTCCCTCCATCCTCTGAATTAGGTTGCTGACAAATGCTTGGGGAATTCAGGAATGGATTTTTATATGTAAGCACTTGAGAGCTGGTTTGGCTAATGCTTCAGCATGTCCTCAGAGGCAACCTGTTGCTTAACTCTTAGTGAGTGTCTGCTCATCTGAGCCAGTGTTGTGCACCTGGCTACAGTTGAGAGATCTCAGGGTTCTACTGAAAGAAAGAGGAAGGAAGGACAGACGGACGGATGAAAGAAGGCAGACAGATGGACAGAAAGACAGACAGACAGATTCTGCAGGCCTGATTTCTGCCTCCGCCAATCTATGGAGAGCATCAAAATCTGCAGTTCCTGCAAATATGCAAAATTATGATAACATGACTGTCTTGCAAAGCAAGAGCTACTGCAAAGGAGCTGTACAGTTATGTAGTACTGCCACTGGCTATTTTATTTGAAATTATAACAAAAAGCAAAACGAGAGTGAGAGTGGGCAGGGGGGAGATCAACAACAAACATTAATACGGACATAAAAAGCATATACATTTACAAATAACTATTTGCAACACCATTAAAAGAGAGAGAAAAAGAATCCAGAACTTCTACACATCAAGCAGACATTATATTTTAATAACTATCTAGTTGAAATTGAAGACTGTTGGATGCAGGACTGTTCGAGTGCAGCAAAAGCAGCAGAAGCATCAGAGCACTGGATCCCAGGCGGTGCGTGAATGTTTATCCTTCCAGTTTATCCTTTGGAGTCTCTTTGTAACTGTTAGCACTTTCAGACTGGTCTCAAAGCCCCAACAATTGCAAACAGTTGCGAGCCCTAACGTTTCAGAGAATGCAACACACAGCAAGACTGATCAGGAGTTATTGAGTTGCACAGCGACTAAATGCTGGAGCCGAACTTCCTGGAGAGCTCGATATACTTGTCTGAATTGGAACTCTTTGGCATTGTAACAAAGACACAGGGGGCTGCCTCTTGGGTATCAAGCTTTTGGTGTCAGGCTACAGAAACTCAGTGTGGCATATCAGCTCTTACTGATATGTTCTCCATATGCTGACTGGAGACTACCATTGTGCATGTACAGAGTGCCCTTCCCTTATTGACAAGTCACCGCAGCAAACTCTCACATGCAGCCCAGTATTTAGCCTAGAAAATAATTTAATGGTAAATGACAGTTATGACCAATATGTCTATGTAGGGTTTACTTATTGTTCATGTCCTACCTGATATTGGACACCATCATGGCTAGACTGTCTTTAGATGTGGTCAAGGCAAATAATGATGCTATACTGCCTCCAACACATTCTGTATGGTTTTTTTAATCCAAGTTGTTCTTCTTCCTACACTTCTTTTCCCATTTATTTCACCTTGAACAATCAGCTGCAACCATCTGTATATTTTTCCCATGGTGCATTCCACACATAAGGCAAAATGCCTGAATGAAAACATATAGAGCCTTGAGTTAGAGTGAATAATTGCTATAATATAGAAGGCATGGAAATGTGACCATTCATTGGCTGGAATTCAAACTGGCTGATGGATTTTCTGTAGAATTGGCAGCTCGGAATAAGAAGACAGGAACTGGATTTCATCCCTTGAATTTTGCACATAGCTAGTGTTAACTGAGAATGAGTGAGGAGGTTATTATATATAGTATGGATTGCGTATGTGTTTGGAGTTGCTAACCTCACACAGGGTTCTTATGAGGTCTGAATTCTTTAGCAGGACGGATAAGCTAGAGAAAATTATTATTCTCTACAGCAGCCCTTTGTTTTGCACAGGCTGGAACACTCAGCTAAATTCTATCCACACATATTGTATGTACATAATTCATGGCAGTTTTCTTTCACTGACATGTGTATAAGGTTGAGGCATGCAACTAAGATGGAGCCATGCACAGTGCTTTGCGTTTAATTAGATATGTATAAAAAGTTGGCCATGCAACTATCCAAGGCTTTAAAAAAAAGGCGACTGGACAATTATTAACCCCTACAAAGAATGTTCTTTGAACAGCCATTGAGCAAAGCATAGCACTAATTTCCCAGAATGCCAAAACAGAGCTGTGTCTAAGGACACCAATCTAGGGTGTAATTCACTCAGGAGGGACAGGGAACTGAATGAACATGTCTTGCCCTGTGACATCTTGAATCGTGGCAACTGTTCTTCCATCAAATGCTCTGATGGAATTTAGTATTGCAATTTAAAGGGATTGGGGGAAACAACTGGAAGGTAAGAAGACTCTGCTTGATCAGACCGCAAATCCTTCTAATCTCATTTATAGTTTTTCACAGCAGGCATCCAGATGTCCCCGGGAAGTTCACAAATTGGGCTTGGAAGACCATTCCTGCCTCCCATTGCTGCTTCCCAGCAACTGGTACTCAGCAGCATACTCTAATGCTGGGTGTGTGATTCAGATGAAAATACCCCTGAATATTGTGTGCTCTTCAGCTTTATCTCCCCTCAACCTATGCTGGCCACTCACCTTGTATATGGACAAAAGAGGACAAAATGTTGCATATATGTGCATATCCTGAATTATATGTATAGATGCACATTTAGAAATAATTACTATAATTTAAATAGAACAATAAAACAGCTTAGCACAGTGGGGAAGACTTTTAGCAAGTAACCTGTGTGCCTGTCTGCTTAGTCTATTGTCTACAGGGTGGCTACTTTAATGACAATTTCACAGGCCCTGCTCTCCTTTGCATAGCTATGTTTATCTTAAAGCTCAACCTGCCCTTCAAACATACAAGGAAATTTTCAAATAGAGGACTGTCCTCTGACAGCTATTCAAATACAGAAACCTTTTGTATAGTAGGATGCATGGTCACCTACTGTAACCTCAGGCAAGCTGTTCCGAGGATCAGGAACTCTCCACAGGAAAGTTTGCTCCGCAAAGGATGCATGATGCAACATGGAAACGCATTTGCATTGACATGGCAAGTCATGGCTATGTGGGGCCACTAGATCTGGGGGCATCTGGCTTGTAGAGATCAGATGTGTTCTGCTTCTCCCCTGATGGATTTCATGGGCACGGCACAATGATCCAAACAGCTGTCCTTAGTCTGATGCCCTTCAAGTTTTAGACATTAACTGTCATCAGCTCCAGCTCGTAGCATGGCCAACGATCAGGTATGCCTTAGTCAAAAACGTTTGGATGGAACCAGGTTGGCCAAAACTGGTCTAAACAGATTTGGGGAGGCCTTTCTTCCCCATACCACAGGAAACTCACGCACCACAAATTTCTGTGGGTGGAAAGCAAATTACTGACATGGTCTAATCCTTCCTGGAGCTGGTGTCAGTTGATCCACTTACAAGTGATCATTTGACAGTCATACAACATATAAACTTCCCTTGGCCCATTTGAGCCAATTGTCACACGATTTTAAGATGGGATGGGCATTTTTCCAGCTTGAAGATAAAGCTAGGGCAAAATAATAGCTTAAAAATGTACATCTATTTAGCAGTGGCAGGGGATGCTGCCAAGAATTTGGTTTCAGTACTAGAACTGAGCTTACCACCCATCCACACAAAAATCCATGCCTCTATCCCCTCTAAACATACTTTCAGTGGCCTAATTCAGAATGGGATGTGGGGAGCCCTTTAATTATAGCTGATATTAAACCAACTGGGAGTAATAAGTGCCTTAGCTAACCTTCTTCAAATAGAGCTGTTGGATGACATGTCTGGCTTGAATTCTGAGAGACAATAAAAATGTGGGTGCTTTAAAAGAGGGGTCATTTTAAGAATTCAGGGTGGGGGAAATCTATTTGCTGTGGAACTTCTTTGTCCTGCAAAGGATTCTGGGGCATGTTCAAATTAGTTTGTGTATGGCTTTTGGGCCTATCTCTTTAGTATAGAAGGCACATTGTCTGGATCAGTCAGTAACTCATTTCCTCTCCAGGGAAACTTGCCTATCATTACTGATCTTCTTGTTGTGGACACCCTGATAAGCCTCCAAGAAACTCCATGTTCTCTAGAACATAGATTGCCTATCACTGACTATAGATGAACATCTTTGGTACCAAAGGAACTGATACACCCTTGCAAATGGTTGGGGTAATCTTATCAATGCGGACTGTTCTGGTTATCTACCTAGTTTAACCAAAATTTATAAACTGGATTTATAAACTGGATATAGTGTAAGTGGTTTACTGCAAGCACAAATTCTACAGGTGTATGTGATGAAAGACATACAGATTTTCTCATTCCACCATGTTTTGCTCATGGCCAAATCTAGCAAGGTGTTCTCCTAGCAGACAGAAAACACGACCAGTCTGCATTGGCATGAATTAACCTGAATGAATCGGGGTACAAGCAGACCCTTAGTTGCTTTTCAGTGTTCTACAAGCACTTGTTTGATTGCGAGGGAGCTTATCATGCCAGGCACAGACAATCAACAGAAAGCTCTGCACCTTTTAGTGTCGCTCATGGGAGACTTATAGAGTTTCCACTGACTCATCCAGTCTTCTTTATATTTCCAGCAAAGACTTCTGACAATTTAAGGGAACTAGATATCTGTAAATTATCACAAACTATGACAGTAAGAATTTCTGGCAATCGAGCTAGATCGAAGTGTTTTATTTCCTTCTATTCAATGCAAAAGAAAACAACTCTGAGACAATGATTGGCATGGTGTGATATTTCAGTGCATATTGTGTTTGATTTGCAGTTAGCTACCTTTCGTTATTAGCATTATAAGGCATGGAATAGAAGGACAGCCATTTCAGGTCAATCTGGCAGTTAGTATCCAGGAGACCGTGAATGATTATCCTGTGCTTTCTTGTAAATGTTCAGAGAACAATATGCATGACAGGGCAATCATAAAGCTTTTTGGCCTTGATGGGGCCCCTTTAGCTGTAACCCACTGAGAAGTTGTGTAAATAAGACACTGTGAAATCCTGTGGTTACTGGATATGCCAGACCTCCACAAAACACCTTGTTTCGACCACTTTGCAAAATAAACATTCTTTTAAAAAGAGAGAAAATGTAACCAGGGGCATATCTAGTGAGAAGGGCTATGCTTGGTCTTGTCAACAGTTAGCAAGCAAGTGCCTAATTAAAAGGCTGCTTTATCAGTCAAAAACAACCAGAAGCACTTCTTTTAAATTATGATGAAAAGAAATCTACTATTGCTTATCCTGGCTTGGACAATGATTTACAGCTATCTGGTATGTTCTATATTTGAAGCTAAGGAGGTCAGAAGCTGAAAGAGACAGAAACAATAAAACTTTTGTAGCATGGAAGGAAAAGTAACAATAAAGTCAAAACTAATTATTCTGCAAATATGATATATATGCGTAATCCAGTACAAATAATGGAATTATACACCCCAAAATGTGGATTTCTGAGATGGTGTAGTTCACAAATATTTGTATAAATAAGCAACAAAAGGTCACTTAACTAAATGAACAAAACATTAACATTCAGTCATTTTCTTGGGAAATGGCTTGCCCCTTTATGTTACAAATGCCAACAGCTATGCCTTGTATATAATTTTACACCATCCTTTTGGTTAATGATACCTGTTTTTTTAAACTCATTTCATGATCTTGTGTCTAGACTGTGCTGTCTGCTGAAAAGCAGCAATCTTATTCTCCAACTAATAATAATGCAAATACGCAAAATGATGAATAAATCCCCATTGTCATAATGGCTAAAAGCCCTTTTGTATGTTATTTGTACAATACATCTCCCAAAGCCTCCAGAAGCAAATGCCAAGATGCAGCCTGTTTGCTCAACAACCGGCAGACATGGAAACTTCCGTTTCAGTCATTGTCCCTTGTCTCCGAAGACATAGTTGGAAATATGTCACTCCCTGGTGACGCGTTGTTTAACTGGGACTTTGTTTTCATTAAGAACTGTGCCCTCCTGTACATAATTCTTTCCTGCTCTTGCTTCAGCTCAATGTAAGAGCGGGAAAATGTGTGGAAGATGGATGTGACAGGAAAAGCCATGAGAAGGATGCCACTGAGGATGCTGCTCAGGGCCACCACCTGGCCTGGGATACTTCTGGGTACCATGTCGCCATAGCCTACTGTTGTCATGGTGATCACTGCCCACCAATAACAAGCAGGGATGCTGGTGAACTCCTGGGAGTCTGCCATCTCATTTTCAATCACGTACAGGAGGGGTGCAAACAGTGCAATGGCTACGCAGAGGAAAAGCAGCAGGAGACCAAACTCGCGGGTGCACCTTCGAGCAGTGAGCCCCAAAGTCTGCAGGCCCAGAGAGTGCCTGGCGAGTCGCATAACATACAGGATCCTCAAGGCACGGAGTATGCGGAGCACCAGGCCAACTTTGTCCAGGTAGATGTTGCCAGAACTTGGCTTCTTGTTACTGCCCACAGATGCAGAATCTAGCAACAAAGTTATGTAATAGGGCAGAATGGCGATGATATCAATCAGGGTTAATGGATACCTCAGAAACACAAACTTGTTCGGTGCTTGGATGAACCTCAGCAGAAACTCCAAAGAAAACCATCCTACGCAGACCGATTCCACTATGAAAATGTTATAGCACATCTGAGAACATTCGCCCTGGAAGGGAGGAAACACAGATACTGCATGAGCACCTGAACTTAATTGGCAGAAGTCAGAGGGAGGCTTAATGAAGAAGAACGATGGGAAAAAAAAGAAATGCATCCCCAAAACTAAGGACAGTGATCTGCACAACATCTGCATGCCCATTTGTGTGTAGTTGCAAATTCAGAAAAAAATTATTATACTTTAAATAGAAATACAGTGCATCACATCATAGTGTGGAAGACCAAGACCAGGTCACCCCTGTGTTTGCCTGTTCAGCTCCAAGTGCTGTTGGTGGACAACAATTCTTAAGGTTCTTTATCTCTAAACTGGAACTGGACAAGATGACCTTTCAAAGAGTGAGAGTCCTCAGAGGACAGTCCTCTGGGAGACCTTCAAAGGGATATGAGGTTTCCCTAGAAATATAAACATTGCCTGTCTGGATTAGATCAACAGCAGCCTAGTTCTGTTTCCGGAAGTGGCCAACTAGACACTTCTCAAGAGCCTTCACAAGCAGGCCATGCAGAGGGTGGCCATTTCCTATTATTCCCCATCAGGTATTCAGAAGTAGACCACTTCTGGCGGGGGAGGCTCTGTTCAGTATTACTGCTAAAATCAACAGTAATGTGCCCCGCCCCAAAAAACCCCCACCCAGATTTGAAAGAAATGCTCAAAGAATTCCCAATGCAAATTTGATTAATTTGCACAGGGTTTTTTTGCATTGGAAAAGTATCAGTTTGTACTGGAACTTTTTTCCCCAATGCAAATAAAGTTTATTTTGCATAGGAAAAAAGCTTTACACTAGAAAATGTTCTGGTGCTGTAGAACAGCAGTGGGAAACCTGTGATGATACAGAAGTTTCACCTTACAACTCCTGTCATCCTCCAACATTATCCATTTTTTAAGTCAAAATATTCAAAGGGTGAAAAGTTGACCACCCTAACCCTAAACTTAGCATGTTTATTTTACTTGTTTTGTATCCCATGTTAATTTTTATATTTCCCTTAGGAAGTAAAAGGCTTTTGTGGATTTTTTTTCAGTCTAAATATGCATAGACTATACCTGACATTGTTTAAATATGAGAAAATGGGTATGAAAAATAGTGCCACAATAATTAATATGAACTCAGAAAACTGTGCATGAAATCATTAATTATAACTCTGAAACTGCCAAGGTGGCCTAATATTGTATTGCAATTGGTATACATTCATTTATATTAATGAATGGAAATTTCCTGCACAAAAATCAAGCACTAGGAACTGCTCCACCCCCTATCATTTGGTCAACTTATTCTCCATGAATTTATCTTAAAAGAGCCCTTGTGTGCCCTTAGAAGAGAGTTACTCGGGTATGTCATCTCTGCTCCATGGCTGCTTTCTGTCCCCTGCCACCTTGAGAACCCCAGCTAGTACCAAGGTTCCCCAGGCCCCTAAATTATTGGTTTCTTCTCAAGTGCCAGAGATGTCTGCTCCAAACATTATCCAGCATCCCTCTGCCCAGTTCCTACTTCTTTTTTCCATCCTCTTCCCTCTGGAAACACTGCTCTCTCATTCATGCACCAGCTGTGGTCTTTTTGCTTCCTAGAGATGCCTGTCTGCACTGAAACCTGAAACACATTACCTGATAGCTTACTGCAGGTAATCCATAGACATTGACCATGCTGGCTGTGGGTGATGGCAGCTGTAGCCAACATATCTGGAGGAGGCATCAGGTTGGGGAAGGACGCCTGGTTGGAAGACAACCATCCTATGTATACTTGCAATTTTATGAATATTATGCTGCCTATGACTGACTCCTTCCCCGACTCAGGCCCTTCTCTGCTGTTTTAGACTGTAAGCTGCTTGTAAGGCCAGTCATACCTGTTCTTTGCAAAGTGCTACTTACAGAGATGCTGTAAAATGAATAAATAATAGGAATCAGCACTGGTCCTTGACTTTAAAAACAAAACAAAAGCACAGCAAGCCAAATCTGTACGAATGTTGACGAAGATGATCTAAAACTTCACAGCAGTCCAAGGTGAGAGTTTTCAAATGTTTTCCAACATATGGCTTCTCAATCCTCATTACTTTTATTTCTGTCATTTTGAGTGTGAAGACAGAATCCCACGCAAGTTTAGACAGAAAAAAGGACAACAGTTCCACTCGGCAATGTGGGCAGCTGTTGGCCTTTTCTCTGTCTGAACTGGCATACTATTGCACACTACAACTTTTTAACACTGAGTGTGAAAATGCTATGGAGCAAGACATGAAGATCTACAACTGTTGCTAAACTGGGTAAAAACTATGCATTATTTCCATTTTAAAGCATTTTTAAAAAATGTCTTTTTTACATGGAACTTGCAAGAGTTTGCCATCCAAGAGCAGAAAGAGGTCCACATCTGCTTAGTGTCAGCAGTGCTGTGGCATCCGATGCTCCTGGACCACACATGAGCAGCTCACGCACTCCAGACATTTTGACCTACAGCTCACATGATCTCCTACCACAATGGTGCTGGCTAGACCCAATGTGAGTTATAGACCAAAATATTTGGAGTTGCACATGCCTGTCCTAGACCATTTGCTAGGCTTAAAGTGAAGGCTTTTGACATGCAATTCAGTGGCTGCAAGGGCTATGTCTTCTGACATTTTCCATGTGGCTTGCCAGGACTGGCTAATCAAGTTTCCTCTCTCCCTCTCTAGTTTATAAACCTGTATGGTAATAGTCTTTTAGCACCAATCATTCTGGGTTGGTAGTCATGTCCAATTTAAAATCTGGTCTCTGGTCATTTGTGACCACACTCTCCTGTCCTTTGAGTGGTGAGTGACCATAGGCGATCATGTATAATAGGACGGCATACAAAAGCTTTTAATAAATAATAAATATAGGGAGGCAAAGGTAACTTTCTGCTTTTTACTTCCCTTGAGAATACAAACGACAACCTTCCTGCATTTTTAGATCTGACTGCATAGTGAGCAGGTGCCTGAACATTACCGTTTAGCAATGTGGGTATATCAGTCACACTTTTTTACACACTTGGTACAGGGAACACACAGCTCCAGCATTTGCTGCATAAAGTGTGGCGTGCCCTCAATCTCATCAAATCAGCAGGATTTGTGTTAATTAATATAACTAAGCTCCATTCTGTTGCTTCCTAACAGTAGGCCTTCATAATTTTGCAAGCACACTGCTATGCTTTGGGCAAATGTACAGTACTGTCCCCAGTGAAGCTCAGGGAAGCTGTACACAAATGCTAGCTGGCTCTTGTGTCTGTCTCCGGGCCTTCCTGGAACGGTCTTTCAAGCATAAATGAAACAGTTCAAAGCAGGTTCACATGCCTTTCCAGGAGCAGGAGCAGCTGGAGAGTTGACGGGTTGGGGGAGAGCTCTCCTTGCAATGGATCCTCCATGAAATGGCTCTTCTTTGTAGCCGCATTGATATGCAGCTTTAATCGTGGCCAATTTTTGCTGCTGTGGGCATTTGGATTCCCAATTCTTTGGTTATTTGCAGTGGGAGAGAGGGAAAGAGAAACTCCCACATACGTTGTCTTTGGGGGATTATAGGCAGACGGCAGGCGCACCTTCAAACCACAAGAAGCCTGCCTAGTGTGTCAATGCATTCTGCCAGCCAAAATGTTGGGAATAGTTGAGAGAGTGCTGTCTATTCAAGTGGAGTCCTCTGAAAATCAAGCAAAAATGGCACTTTTGGGGCAAGGGAGTTGGCTGCTCAAGGTCTATTTCAAAAGCACAAGCCAAAGTGAGCATGTCTTCAAGGACTCTAATGCAGCCTCTCCGTTTCTGCACTGGGATTTCAGACTACAGTTCCTGCCATCCCTGACTATTGGCCATGCAGGCTGAGGACAGTGGGAATGGCAGTGCGGCATAATGGGAGGTTGGTAAGTTTGGGAAGGAGGATCTAACAGAAAAAGGATGTTTCATTTGTTTGGCTGTGATTACACAGCAGCCTTGGAAAGAAATTGCCAAGGTTATCAGCCCAAACCATTTTTACCAGCCTGCATGACTACATATATTTCTCTCAATCTGTCATGACACATTGATGGCCTGAAAATGACTGGCTTTATCATTAAGCCGACTGTTCCCATTTTCAAAGACTTTCTCCCACATCCAAAGGCGCTTCTTATTCCCTAAAGCACAGGAGGAGGTAATTTGCCATCCTGAGACCTCAAAAAAGGATGGGGCAAAAATGCCTTAAATAAATTAACTGTGGGAGCTCTGGGCCCCATTTTTGCCCCCTTGCTCCCCCCAAAGACCACTTTGGAGGGTACCAATAATGACTTAACTTCATTTTGAAAGGGTTGAATGTAGCTGTTTTCAGGCTAAATTTGAACTTTTTGGCACACTCTCTGTCATTAAAATAAAAATTAAAAATCCCGAATTCATCTGTCTGCCCTTCATTGACAAGAGAGGTGGCCATGCATAAGCTTGCAATGGGTGGCATTATTCCATCTGAGGATCAACTTACTTTCTCCTCTTCCTCTCTTAAGCCAGGCATGGTGCTGATAGAGAGGTTGACTGCTGTGATGGTCACAAACAACACCGATAAGCAGGCAAACACTTTTCCAGGAATCCCAGACTGAGGTCTCTCCACCATATCCCGCAACTTTCTCATGCAAAGACCAGCTTTTGTTTCTGCCACGGCCTCACACTGGTTTTCGCTATCTGCGAACTCATCTTCTGTGTCATTCATTTCTGCAAGCTCCTCCATCTTCTGCAGGTACCTTCTCTTGCAGCACCATTCCAGGTTGTCTTCCTCAATGCCCCAGTAGAGCAGCTCTTCTTGAAAGGAAAGAGCACACATCTCTCTCAAAAGCCTGAGCTTCCCTGCCCGCAGGAAAGTCAAGATGGTCCTAAACGCCCCAGGGTTTCGATCAAAAAAGAATTCATTACAGGTCACATCGTAATCATCACAAATATTGAGGATGTCATCAAAATTGTTGCAAAATTTTAGCTGTCCCAAGCGGGTCATGGGGAATTCATCAAGAGTAGTCCACGGGAGCAAGTATTTAAAACCACCCACATTTATGATGATGTGGTGCTTCCGGTCTTCTGGGTGGATGCTTGTGTAGAGCTCTTTCCCCGGTTGAATAAGTTTGGCTCTTTGGTAAAAGACTCCTTTGAGAGTTTCTGTTTCAGCAAAGAAAGGGTGGTTGAAGGAAGCATCTGACGCGCAGCTGAGAGCACTGTAGTCATAGTCTGAATTTTCTCCTGGTAAAAGAGTCATCTTTGTCACCACGTTATTTCACATCACTTTGCTGCTCTAGCTATTGATTTCTGTAGCAGAAAAATAAAAAAATCAATTTCAGTTTGTATTTTTCCTCATATAAGTAGCAGGAACAAATGTTTATGCCACAATCAATCTGTACAGGTTGATTCCAGACTGACACTGGATCAACTCTGTTAGTGGAAGAGGACTTCTCCGAGCAGCCTTTTCAGGTACCTGGGAATGCTACACAGACACTATGGCTTAAATAAGGCACACTGGATTGCAGTATGTGCTGGGTGACTTTTGAACATTCAGGTCCTTTGTATCATCTGAACCCAGTAGGGGTTGCTTAAATGAGGGCTGACAACTCCTCCCTAACCCTAAAATAAGCCATGAGTTTAGCATTGGTTGTTTAACGCTTGCACGTCCCTCCTCCACTGGTCTGGACAACACAACAAGTTGCAATGGATATTCAAAATGGTGGCTGCATGTGCTGTAGCCCACCATGGCTAAGCTGTGATGGACTGTTTGATCATGTAAACTGGCCCAGAAAGCCAGGAGATTCTGCTGAATGGTGTGAGCTGTGGTGTAGGAGTGAAAGGAGACTCTCAGAAACTGGGAGGAAGGATATTCCATGAGTGGGGTGAGAGTAGGCAGGTGGGAGGATTTCATTCAGTCCACATTTTGATGTGAATAGATCTCATCCATACTCCCTAAAAGAAAAAATGTGGATCACAATCATCCTGACTTTGTGAATTTTGTACAATTTGTATAAGTGCATATAAAGTGCATATCTATCTCAGAATAAAATCAGGACAAGTGTCATTTTTTGCACCAGTTGTTGGGGAACATGGGCAGGAGGGTGCAGTTACACTCATATCCTTCTGGTGGGTTTCCCGTATGCCGCTGCTTGACCACTGTGTGAACAGAACGCTGGACTAGATGGAGCCTTGGCCTGATCCAGCAGGGTAGTTCTTAAATTTTTACAGGAAGCAGCCACTGATAGCCTTGCTCTCCAGGGATCCCATTTTAAAGCCAGACAAAATACACTTCTAACTGAATGGATACCCAGTGGCAGAACACAAGAAAAACTGATGTGGAACAGGAAGGGGACTCTTTTCCATTCTGCCATTACTCCCCAGTTCCAGGGCCTGTTCCCAAACACAAACTGCTGTCACGTGCCAACCCCACCTATCTCCTGGGAGTAAACCAACCCTTTTCTCACACCGTCTTTCCCTTGGGTTGTCTTTCTCTAAGATCTGCCCCCTACCCACATCTCTGGAATTGTCTCTGGTAGGAAGTTATATATATTCCCTTCTTATATGAGTTTTTAAGCATCTTAAAACCCTTTTTGTTTTACTAAAAGCATTGTGTCATTTAGTTTTATACTGGATTGTTTTCTTTGTATTAAACATGTTTTCATTATGTTTGTAAGCCAACCTGGGAAGGGTTTGCCCTTACAGGCAACGAATACACTTCTTAACTAGAGTATATATTTCTTCAATCATTAGATTTATACTATTACTCTCAGCACACAGAGACTGTGCTGGGTGACCAGGCACAGCAAACACAATTCTCTCTTGGAGTTGCCTACTTGTGAACATTCTGTGTTTGCATGTTCATTATGTCTCCTTGACCAGCATTTATGCAGATTTGCCATTCAACTCACATAAACTGCAAAAGCACCATTGACAATTCGGGATGAACACCTGGTGACTGGGAAAACCTGTACGTACAAAGTTTTCCTGTCTCCAGCTTGACCCTTCTGTGGGAGCCCTTCTTTCAAATAAACAAATAAATAAATATAAAAAAGCAAGTATTTAAATGCTATTTAAGTTTAATGCATTGAGACCTCCCAGTGCTGAGTAGGGTCAGCAAGACTGGAGACATACATCTGCTGCTAATGAGAAAACATGAGTAGCCATAAAATAAATGGACTTAAGCATGTCCTTATCTGCTCCACCAATTTATACTTTGCCAGGGAATGTCAGTTAGAATCACAGGCAGGGACTTCTAAGATCATTCAGCCAACCCATGCAGGAAATCTGTTGCTACAGCACCCTGACAGGTGGCCAACCAGCCTTAAATCTTCTAATAAAAGAGAGTCCACCACCTTCTGAGACTGCATCAGCACTGAAAAACTCACACATTCAGGAAATCCATCCGAAGGTACAGCCACAGTCCCCTTTCATATACCTGAACCTGTTAGTTCAATCTCACCATGTACAGCAAGGGCAGGCAACATGGCGCCTGCAGGCACCTAATCGCTCCAGACACCTTTTCTGATGTCTGCTGGCTTGCCCACATGCATGAAGGATACATGGTGTGTGAGAGAGTGTGCGTGCACAACAGTGAGAGAGAGACAGGGAGGGGAAGAGTCTGCTGGCATAAAATAGGGTGAGGGTGCAAGTGTGCTGAGAACTGTGGGTGCAAAGGATTCATGTGTTGGTGCTCAGACCCTTCTTTTCTACTTAGGCTTTCTTGTTTTCTTTCTTCTTCTTCTTGCTGGCTGAGTGCATTGCAGAGGAAAGGCTTGGCCTACCATTAACAGTTGTCTCTACTTCCTAAGAAATGGAGGCTCACCGAAGGCCCAGATACATTGATGGGAAATCAAGACAGCTGCAATTGCTGGCTCTCACTTTGCTTGATCCCAGCTGCTGATTAAAGAAATGTACCAGTTAAAGAGAAAACATTGGGGGGCGGCACCCTGATGGTGCCAAGAAAGGTGTCTGGAGATATACAGCTGCCCATGGCAAGCACACTGCCTACACTGCACTAGGATCTACTCTAAAGTGGACATTTTGTGACCAACTCTGCCTCTAAGCTACCATTTCTCAGCTAGTACCCTGTAAGGTTCTAATAAAAAAGCAGATTCTGATGTCCTAAAGTCTCTCCACTCCTGCACTGCAGGAGAAAGCTTTCCCACATGTACACCCTACTGGCTCACAATTCCCACAAGGATGGTGTGGAAGAACTTTTTCAAGCTCTATGTGCTGAAGGTCTGAGGCTCAATCTCCAGCAACAACTCAGCCAAGCTCCTCTCTGAAGCACAAACAGCTGCTACCAATCAGTGCCAGCATCACTGAGCTAGAGGGAGGAATGGCTACTTAATATAAGGCAGCTGACTCCTCATGCAGGGTTTTGCCTCAACAGAGGGCAAGCCTCCACCTTCAGGCAGTGGTGGTCCTATGTTCTCTCAGAACTGCATGGGGTCTCTGCAAGGTCTAAACAGGCCCTGAGTAGCACACCGATGATATTGACAGAATGGCTGGCTTGCAAATGACCTCTTTTCATGGGTGGGGGAGCCTTTGGATTTGAGAAATGGTACTACGAAAACAGCAAAACTTCTGAACTGGAAAGGTGCTCAGTCATAACTCACCTTAGCCACTGACATGTTTAGTGATCACAAGAGAAGCTACTGCCACCATCACATTGCAGACAATTTAATGATAACTGCATTTCCCTTAGGCTGAGCAGAACAGCAAGTTATACAGTATAAGAAACAACTGGTTGCATCACAGAGGCGACAACTCGAGATAGTGCAGTTATCTGTCCTGCCAGCAGGGTGAGTGTGTTCAAAGGCTGATTGGAGCTCTCCTTAGAAGCATATGGAGAAAGCATTCTGAAGGTCCTTCTCCAAGTGCTATGGTGAAATTTGCCTGCTTATGGCTTTTATAGAGTAAGGACAAAAAGCTATTCAGGGCACTGAAACTCTTGTCTTTCTGACCTCCAACATTCTTGCTTAAGTTGGCGTAAAGGTAAAGGTTTCTCCTTGATGTTACGTCAGCATGCCTGACTCTAGGGGGCGGTGCTCATCTCCGTTTCCTAGCCGAGGGAGCCAGCGTTTGTCTGCAGACAGTTTCCGTAGTCATGTGGCCGGCATCACTAAACACTGAAGTGCACGGAACGCTGTTACCTGCCCACCGAAGTGGTACCTTTTTCTCTACTTGCATTTGCATGCTTTCAAACTGCAAGGTTGGCAGGAGCTGGGACTCACCCTGTTGTGCAGATTTGAACCGACAACCTTTCGATCAACCAGCCTAGCAGCACAGCAGTTTAAACCAGTGCGCCACCTGCAGTCCCTTAAGTTGGCTTAGATGACCATCAATCAGAGACAACCAGGCAGCTGGATCCCCATGTGACTCCTTCCTTCTGTCTACAAGGTCATCAGTTCAATTCACAAGTGAGGGTACGGCAGCCTTTCCAAGGTTCACTTTGGATCCAAACTGGAGAGGAAATGTGATGGAGTAGAAGTACATGGCATTATGATCCATCTCTGGAGATGCATGAAGAAACAGGACTTTTGGAGAGCTACAGGAAAACAGAGACTAATGTGTGTGTGTTTGCATATATACACAGCACTGGTGTTGTATGAAAAGCAGGAGTGTGTGTAAGAGAAAAGTGAAACCATCCTTTATGTTTTGCCATGACTCTGCACAGCACCTAGCACAAGCTTTCCATTGTGTTTTACAAATGTATAATAGTGTTCCCCAAATGAGTGTCCTCTAGATGTTTTGCACTACAACATCTATCAGCCCTGGCCAGCATCGTCAGTGTTGCATCTGGGGGATCTCAGGTTGAAGAAGTATAGCAACTATGTGTTTAACTAGGAAATAATACTGAATGGGCTCCTTATTCCTTTAATATGGCATTTCCCTGCCTTCAGTGATATGGGAAAGAACCAGAGACATACAGAGACCACATTACAACCAGCTGAGCTGAGAAATAAAGGATACATTCCTATCCACTTCTCTGAGAACAAGCACCACGGAATAAAATTAGACTTACTTCTGAGTAAACACGCAATGATCTGTACATATCCTAAGCAGCTAATCTTATTCAGAGTGATGAACTTTCTTTCTTTCTTCTTGACTATATCCACCAAATCAAATTCAGGAAGCTATATGATTGGTCCTCTATCCTCATGAAATCACGAAGACTTTGCCAAACGGAGCAGAGAAATTTGCCTCTCTCAGAGCTGAAAAGAGGAGCCGCAACTTCACTATTAAAATTCCACTATGGATTCTCTTCTCTCTTTTTCTCCTCCAAACTTCCTCTGCAGTATGTTGATTTCTGCAATGCATCTCTGATGTAATCAGTGATCTTGTGAAAAAGGGCTTACAACCATTTTGTGGTGCAGGCAAATTTAAAAGCCATCCCCGGGATAAACATGATAGTGCACTATCAGCCACCAGGTTTTGTAAAGTAAACTGTAAGAGTTTGAACAGACTCCTGATGCCCTGGAACTTCTGAACTATTATATATTATTTTGCCTCTCATATTGATATTCCAGAGCAGTGTAAGTGCAAATAACACGAGGAATCTTTACAAAAGAAGGCATTATGGCTGTAATTTAAAGCGCTCTGCAGTTTTGACAGTGACAAGACTTTTCCACCAGGAAGAAAAGTTTTTGCAGGGTGACTTGTCACCCAAGTACCAGTTGCTGGGGAAAAGCAGGAATGGGCCATTGCCTTCAACCCTAGCCTGTGGGAGCTGGTTTGCCACTGTGCAGAACAGGACGTTGACCCACATGGAAGGCTGGTCCAATCCAGTAGGACTCCACTTATGTAGCCCCACTGACCTATGTGCACTACACTCAGTGAAGCTCCACAGAAGCCAAAGGTTCAAGGGATCATTCTCCACTAGCTGAAGCATACCTTAAAAGTCCCTGCAAAGAGCTCATTCCCTCCAACAGCCTCTCACAGCGACCTTCATATTCTGATCCAACAAGTTTAAAATTCATTCATACGCTGGCAAGGTCATTTCAAGCCTTTGCTTTGAGCAATAAAGCAGAACTGGTAACTAACAAAATGAGACCACTGATGAGTTTTTGCCAATACATGAAAAACACATATAATGCTTAATTATTTCACGTTATTAGCAAGTGTTGGACAATGTTATACCAAGTAACTCTGTGGTGTGTGTGTGTGCAATGAATCCACAACTTCTGTACTGTTTTTGACTCTGTAGAAAGCCTAATATTGACTCAGTTGATGAAAAACCACGGTTTGCCAGAAAGTTAACTTTATTTCTTCTTATATATTGTTTTGCAAATATAATGAATCAGCTCAGCTATCAAGCTACAGAGCTGATATTGCTGAGAGAAGGTAGAAATAAGGTGTGGAAAATACATATTTTCCTTGTAAAACTGATCTCAAATATATTTCATCCCAAAGAAGTTACACCAAACAGTTTTTAACACAGGTATCAAAACAACAGCAGTGGGCTCAAGGACATTTGCAACAGAAAACACTGCAAAGAGCAGAGGCAAATTAAATGCATCCGCAACAAACACAAATACTAAAGCCAGTTTTATCAGAAAACCTTGACAACAATAAGTATCAGAGTGGAATAAAACAAAATTCACTTCACCCCCAGTCAATCAGGCAAAGGGCAATCAAAGGCAAGGTGAAAACTAACTTCAATGCAGCACTCTGCTCAAACTGAGAGGAAGGATTACCAAAGCAAGAAAGAGATACTGGTGGGAGAAAAACAGTAGTCAGTAACATGCTAAGTCTATCACGAAACTAGACATCTGCCATTCAAACGATTACAGTTAAAGCAAAAACTGAAGAGATATAGAAAAGCCCTCCAGAAGTGCAAAAGTTCAGTTGTTCTAAAACACACTTCAGAGCTTTGAGCAAAGGAAAGCTATCTAGGGATGCAAAAATAAAAAAGGAATTTGGTATTCTACACATGGAAACGAATGCAGTTAAGACGAATCTCAACACTGACAAGCTGTTTCGTTCAAAGCAAGTTGTTTTGTTCAAAGCACTCGGGTCCCCTTGTAAAGCCTCACCGCAATGAAGACGGGGCTGGCAAGGGAAAGGAGTCGTGCAAAGCAAAGCAAAGGGGCAAAGGTATGATGTCATGCAGCATTAAAAATACCACCCCATGCACGCTTACTTGGAAGCGAGTCCCGCTGAATCTGTGTGTTTCTTCTGAACAGTCACGCACAGGATCACGCCACATACTTACAGGACTAGGATGGGGGGAGGGGGCAGGCTGGTGGACCGCCACCAAAGAGGAGACCCTTCCCATCTAGGGGGCCTAGTATAAGAGAGATGGGTCCACAGGTCACTGACAGAGCACACGCTTTGCTTGAGAATGTCCATGGTTCAACCCTCGACCTCTCCAATGTTGGGCTAGGCAAGGACCTTGCCTAAAACCCTGCAGAGCCATTGCTGCGAGTCCATGCCGGCAATCCTGGGCTAGTCCGATTCAGAATTAGGCCGCTTCCTATGTTCCTGGATACCGGGTTAGTTTTACGCGGGTGATTATAATGGCCATAATAAAAGCATCCTAATATCATCTCCCCTCCCTCGCAGTTTCCGAGGCTTCCAGGCTAGCGTTCTGCGGACATGGGGAGCACAGCAACATTAATCCACGCCGCAACAGCACCCGCTCTCCGCATCAATTAATCCAGGTTAACTACAATGCCCGCTCCGTATTCCAGCACGGACGCGAAGTCTCACATTCCCTGATCTATAAACTTGTGTGGGAAAGGGCGGGTGGAAGAGCAACCGGAGCTGCCCTGTTCTTTAGGCCTGGGGGGCACGAAAACGGTCGTCGTGCATGCATGCAATCTGCTGCGGGAGCCCCTTCTGACGGAGCAGCCCGGGACGATCCAAGACACACACTGGTGGCTGCCGGCGCGCCGGTGGTCTCACCAGGCTGCACGTTACTTCTCGGCTCGGAGGAAAGTTCGACAGAAACTTGGCCAGGAAGTTCGGCAGAGCGGGCATCAGCGGGTCGCCTATCGGAGACCAAGGGGGCCGGGGCCGGGGCGTTGGAGCGAGAGAGGGGAAGCGCACTTACTTGCGACAGCGGCGCCTCCGGTTCTCCTGGGCGGGCGGAGCAGGCGAAGAAATAGCCTGGAAGCGAGCGCGACGAGCAGCCCTGAGCGAGGCGGAGGCACCGCGCCCCCGGATCGCAGGGGGAGGCGGCGGGGCTGCGCCCACGGGACGCTCTCCGCTGCCGCCCCTTTGGAAGGCGAGGACATGCTCATGGTAACGGCGGCGCAGGCATCTAGGGATGCCCGGGGGGAGCTCGCGTTGGCGCTGCCGGGGGCACGACTCCCGCGTAAGGGAGAAGAGGCAGGCCTCGTGGAGGGAGGAGAACACACCCTGCGCACGCAACGGAGGCGTACGCGACCCTCCCCCCTTGCACATGCAGCGATGGTAGCGGCTGCAAAGCGCGTCCTGCATGCAACAGGCGCTTGGATGCACCGCCCGCAACAGGTTACACGCGCTCCCCACCCCAAGCAATGGGCACGTACGCCTTTTTTGCACATCTTGAACAGGGAAGCGGCGCGCGTTTCTGGTATGCAGGCGTTTCATGCAACAATCACGCTCGAACGGAGTGAGCGAGGAACGAGCACACCCTCGCGAAACGTGAGCACGCATCGGGGCCAAACGTTCAAGAAACAACCCTCTCCCGCGGCGGGGGGGGGGTGTATATGCGCGCCTGCGTTAAGCTCTTCGCACTTCCCCCACTCCAAATCTCCTTTGCACGGGAAACGTGGAAAGAGACACTGGAAAGGGACAACGCACTGCGGCGCGTTTGTCCTCGGCGATTTTATTCAAGCGCGTGTACCATGCGCTGTGGGCCATGCAAGTACAGATAGGCGCAGCTCGTTACACAGCGTGATCCTAAGATACATCTAGGTTGCTGGGTTTGTTTTCTGGCTCCGTCTTTAGATAAGAATTTTATAAAGAGAAAGAATTTTATGAAGTACTCCGTATCTCCTGCCACGTCCTCTGGTTCTACCATACACAAAAGAAAGGATTTTTGTTGAAACCTCCATTGCTGCAGTGTGACTTCGTTAGTCATGGATTGTGAAAGAAGGCGCATATCTCTAGGGGTGGAAACCCAGCCATATTTATAGTGTGATCTTTAAGAGCGTTTACCCTGGAGTAAGGCGTGGGGAATTCAGTGGGTCTTACTTCGGATTGCAGGAGTGTACTATTGGGCACATGATAGGATAGAATTGCAGTATTTGGCCTCATCATTTGTATATCTGAGTCGCTTGATGGCGGTGACTTCATATGCTCCCCCACTTCAGTGAACCCAAGACGATTTGCATAATTGTTTACATTTACAAGACGATTTACGTTTGATTCGCTCAACAATGTTGCGGGGAACGTTGGGCTGAGTCGTGACTGGCCCAAGGTCGCCCTCGAGGCTTTAATGGCTCAAGTGGGGACTAGAACCAGAATTCTCCTGAGTCCCAGTCCGCCACTCTTAACTGCTGTGCCGCACTGGCTCTTAAATAAGCGCTGACTGGAATTGGGGATTGAACTTGCCAGCAGTTCAGTGCCTTCTGCCATACTTGGGGGTAAGCCTTTGTGGAACTTATATAAGCTTACGCCGTTGTTAAACATTTTCTTGAATGGAGCCAAAGTTCTGCTCTAGTTTATCACATTTTCTTTGCAAATTTGGATTGTCTGACCGTATTTCTCCATAGAAGTACTTGCACAATGCGATGGTCGTCATGATCTTGCGCCGCCAGGTGTCGCTGCATCGCTGTGAGCTGGGTCTGTTTTGCTTTCCAATCTACCAGCTTGTTCACGTATTTTCATGAATTTGCTTGGACAACAGTAGGCTCCCGGCACACGTGTCACCTTATGTACTCCTTGTACTATTAATACTCTGACCCTTTATTTTAAAAAGCTCATCTGCTGCACGTTAGTTTTGTGTCAAGGCAACTTTGGGCTATATGAAAAACTAAAGAAATGACCAGGGGTTAAGCAGACACACAGTGCTCTTACAAACCCACTCAAACCATTAAATCTTCAGAATTAAGGTTCTTACTTAAGACAGGAGAAAAACTGTTTGGAAATTGCATACTATACACTGTTCCTTTTACTTTCCAGGAAATTGGTAAAATTATTTAGCAGTATAGTGAACGCTGTAACTATTTTGAAAAGAAAAAAAACATGTGGAACAAATTCTAGTTATTTAAAGACAATTGATGGATCATATCTGTTGATTTTGCAATGCTGCACTTGGGCCAAAATAAAGATAACTTTCATTTGGCTCCCAGTTCTGGTTTGCATAAACCCACAGTTTATGGAACCGATGGTTTACTGCCCTGCCCAGGCATTGTCTGGCAGATAACCAAACAAGCTGTTCTTTGTTTTCTTAATCCTTGGCAACTTTGTTTCCCTCCTTCTACTGTTTCCTGGATCCCTTTTTTCTGGTTCTCTTGCCTGCCACCTCTGTGTTCTGGTGAAACAACCGGTCATCCTGAGTTTGCACATTAATGGCAACTATACTTTAAATAACCCAGAGTTCACAACCCAATGACAATTATGTTCAGAGCTCACAATTTTCTTCAGTCATTACCAAAGTTTGTGTTCCACAGCTTTGCACATATTAACAGATGGGAGGGTGGTTTTTCAGGATGGATCCTGAAATATCATACATATAAGAAGTTATACTCTTGAAAGGTATATTCATCATATTGAAGGGTACACTTGAATTGATCCCTTTTTTTCATACCGTAGGACCAACTTGACACTGTACTGTAAGCTCTTCTGTCATCGGCCGGTGGAACTGTTTCACCAACAAATGCCATACCAAATACCATCATCACTTAATTCAGATAGAAAAATAGATGCTTCTGAAAATACAATTTGTTAAAAAAAATCCCTTCACCTCATTCAATGACATTTTTAATTGGCAAAGGATTCTCTGAGCAAATTAATCAATCTGTGCTTCTGTTTAGCTGCAGAAGCAAATCTAAACCCCTTTTCATTACTTTTTATTGCTTAAGAGCTATCTTACCTTCTGTTCCTTTCAATCCTGAAGCTGAAATGTTTTCCTAACTGTTTCCTGGTTCTTGCAATAAAATGCAGCACAATTCTGCAGTCAGTAGCTACGCTGGAGGCAAATACACAGTGATTTTGGCTTTGTGACTCTTCTGTTTCCATAAGCAAAACAGGAAAATTTATTTGTTCTTTATAAACTCAGTTGTTCTGTTAAGCCAGTGGGGAAGAATTCCACATGCAGAGTTAGTCCTAGAAATAAGCTGTGACAGGGTCACAGTTTAAGTTCCTCAGAATGGATGCACAGATTTGAAAGCATGTGTTGGCCATGTGTTCATTGTCTTCACACACTGCCCCAGAGGTCCTAGGATTACATGCCATTAATTTAGGAATTGAGGGAAAAGCCAATTGAAGGGGGATCAGAAAATGAGATTTTGCTGACAAAGGGCTTGGTTCTTAAAAGTCCCCATTATGTTTTGAGGGACAAAGTAAGCAAAGTGCAGTCAGGGGATATAGGGCTGTTTGATGGATACTTAAGTCACCAGTAGATCAAAGTGCTAACTTAGCCAAGATATATTTTCCTCACACAATATCTGATTACTGCTTACCTAATGCTTTTTGTATTTTTATGCATTGCACCAAATCATGCACAATGAGTCAGGCATCTGTAAAATTTAACATACAAAACTGCCTGCACTGGGCCAGTTTGCATGAACAAGTAAGCCATCATGACTTAAACCACAGTGACTTGTTTTAATCCCTGGTTTATGCTAGCAGGGACTAGGTGCATTCCCCTAATTACCCGTCCAAGCAGTGCTGGTTGTGATATCTGAATCCTGGCAGCATGGCTTATTGGGGGAGGGGGAGGGGTGGGAAGACAACCATGTAACAACAGCAGCAGATCAGGGGGAATTTGTGCTGTGGCACCTGGGCTTGGCCAATACAACATGCCATGCCTGGGCAGGTGATTAGGGAAATGGCACCTGGCATGTGGCAGCCACTACAAGAGATTAAAATCTGGCCATCTAGATTGGTTCATTCACTGCAAACAGTGCTCTTCAACATTTTAATTAACAATTTGTATGAGGAAGTTCAGGGAACGCTTGTCAGTTTTGCAGTTGAACTAAAACTAGGTGTGATAGCCAATAACCTGGAAGACAGAAACAAGTTTCAAGGTGATCTTGATAGGTTGGAGCTCTGGGCTGAAAACAACAGAATGAAATTCAATAAGGACAAATGCCAAGGAAAAAGAAACCAAGTGCATCATTACAAGATGGGAATACTTGGCTCAACGATACTGCGAGTGAGAAGGATCTTGGAATTGTTGTAGATCGCAAACTGAATATGGGTCAACAATGTGATGTGGCTGCAAAAAGGGCAGCATTAATCAGAAAACAGGGCAGCTTTAGGCTGCATTAATAGAAGAATTACTTCCAACTCCTGTGTAGTACTAGTTCCCCTTTGCTCAGCATTGGCTAGGCCTCAACTGGAGTACTGTGTCCATTTCTGGGCACCACAGCTTAAGAAAGAACCGGACAAGCTGGAAAGGGTTCAGAGGAGGGCAACAAGGATGATCGGAGGACTGGAAACAAAGTCCTGTGAGGAGAGATTGAGAGAACTGGGCATGTTTTGAGAAGACTGAGATGAGATATGATAGCATTGTTCAAGTACTTGAAAATTTGTCACACAGAGGAAGGCCAGGATCTCTTCTTAATCATCCCAGAGTGTAAGGCATGGAGAAATGGGCTCAAGTTACAGGAAGTCAGATTCTGGCAGAACATCAGGAAGAACCTCCTGACCGTCAGAGCCCTGTTAGAGCAAGACAACAATGGGACCAGTGTCCTAAGGAGGTTCTGGGCTCTCCCACACTAGAGGCATTCAAGAGGAAGCTGGACAGCCAACTGAAAGGGATGGTTTAACTTGGAATCTTGCAGTGATCAAGGGGCTGGACCTGATGGTGCTCCTGGCCCCTTCCAGCTCTACTATTCTATGATTCTATAAACCCTACAACAAACCTTGGGTTATTTGAGGGGTGTTCAGACAGCCCCAGTTGCCTGGGTTAGATGACATGACAAACCATGGAAACTCTCCTGCTGGGGGCTGAATATTCAAAATGACACACACCACAATCCACCATGGTTTAAATAGACCACACTAGGCAGTGGTGATTGTGCACATAGAAACATAG